CCCGGCACGGTGCCCGGGCTGGCGGGCAGACGGGGGCAAGCCAAGGGGCCGCCTCGCCCCTCATCGTCACAGCCCCACCCGCGGCCAGCCGGGAGTGGCGCGTCCGCCCAGGCCCCGTCTCTGTTGCACTAACACGGCCCCTCCCTGGGAGATGCTCCTGGCCAGGGAGGCTCTTTGAAACGAATTCATTAAAATCAGGAAGGAGAGCGCCTGGCTGGTCCTTGGCTCCGGTCACGGCTGTCGAGGGTGGTGGGACGGGTCGGCCCTCGGAACCAAGGGACATGGTCAGGGCTCAGCCCTCACGGGGGATCTGCCCATGAGACCTGCAGGGGCACCTCGGTGCCCTTGGCTTGCGGGAGCGAAGCCCGAGGCTCAGGAGCCTGGAGGGTCCCCAGGTGGTCCTGGCCAGGCCGGGGGCTGGGTCCTCACTGAGCAATTCCTGCCTCCTGTTTGCACATCAATTTCTGTAATTCTGGAACCCCCCCAAGCCTTCCACACTGGCCCACACAGGGTCGGCTGGGTAGAGCATCCGGGAAGCGGGGGCGTCCCTGACCACGCACAGGCAGCCCGGTGGGGCCAGCACCTACCCAGGATGTAGCCCCTGGGCTCAGCAGTGCCTGCCCTCGAGGGCCTGAGGCTCAGGGGAGGACCAGGCTCATTCTGGCTTCAAGGCCAAAGTCTCTGGGGAGTCCTGTGTGACCCAGGCTGGCTCCTGATGGATCAGGACAGCTGCTGGAAGCTCGACAGCTGCTGGAAGCTCGGCAGCTGCTGTCCACGTGACCTTGAAACCAAACCCAGTGGTGGCCCAGAGACACCCAGTACCCTCAACCTGATGGCACAGCTCCCGGGGTGGTGGAAACAGCGGCGTCCTGGGTCTGCTGGGGGCACTTTTTGGTCAGGTCCCAGGCTACTGGGCGGGGCAGGTGGACACACTCCTGCCATCAGTTTCGTGCCCTGTGTTTCCTCAAGAGACTGCCGGCTTCCTAGGACCCTCTGTCCTGCTCTGGGCATGTCCCTCCCAACCCTTAGTCCTCCGTAGTGGTTGGCCCACGGGACTCATGACCCTCCTCCCTGAGACCTGTGGGCGGCCAGATGTCCCCTTCCTAGCCCAGGCCTGGGCAGTATGCCCATGCCTGGGGCCATGGGGCCTGCTGGCACCCTTAGGCACATGGCTTTGCTCCCTGCACCCACCACTGTGGCCTTTCAACTCGGGGCCGGAATGGGCTTTCCCTTGGCACAGCTGGTGGGCACACCACATAGCTGGGAGGGCCATGCCAGGAAGGCGGGCACGGCAGCTGTCGCTTACGCATGCAGTACTTAGGGCTCGGCTGGGCACGGTAGCTCCTGCCTGTCGTCCCAGCACTCTGGGAGGCTGAGGCCCGAGGATCGCTCGAGCCCGAGAGGTCAAGACTGCCGTGAGCTATGATCACACATTTCAGCCTGGGTGACACAGCAAAGACCAGTCTAATGAACACGTAAATAAATAACCTGCAGCTCAGACCAAAAAAAGGCAGAAGACAAAACATCACGCCGGGGCTTCCGTCCGAAGGACAGAGGCAGTGCCCTCTGGACACAGGGGCGAGTCTGGGGGCTCCCTCTCCCTCCCCTGCACCAAGCCCTCAGACGGCTTCTACCTTGTCCCGATGCAAAATCCAGACGTGCCAGCGCACCCCTAGCTGTGCCCTGGGCAGTCGGGGGCAGGCGAGGGTCTTGGGCTCCCGGACCGTGGGCAGGCGGCCTGACTGTCCTGTGTCCACCCCTCGGCCTCACGGAAGTCACCAGGCTCTCACGCTCAGCTCAGGTACCTCCCCGCGGGTGGCCGGCAGCCTCCCTGGCCCTCTGCAGACACCGAGGGTCTCGAAGGCAGTGAGTCTCAGGCAGGGGCCCCGTGCCCCAGGGAGACCGTCGTGAGTCCTAAGGTGGCGGGCACATGACTGAGCCCTAGGAAGCCATGACAGCCTCTGCAGCCTGGTGACACCTCACAAACCCCCACAGGAGGGGCCTCGGGTTCCCCAACACTCTGGGGCCAACAGTTGCAGCTTCCTGAGGTTGAGTGGAGAACTTAGGTGACAGGACCCGGCCCCTTGCTGGGCGCAGAAGCAAGAGCAGGGTGGCTGTGGTGTGGCCTCTGGGTGAGGGCACCTCATAGTTCTGGGGTCACCCAGCCGCGCCACCCAGCTTTTCCGTCCCACACCCCTCCAGGGTTCCAACAGTGGACTCAGGGACAGTCAGGCTTGGGGTCCCCACCAATCTGGGCTGTTGTCTCTTCCCCGGCCATTGCCACGCCCTCATTAAAAAAAAAAAAATGCTAGCTGGGCTCTGTGGCTCAGCCTGTAATCCCGCGCCTTGGGAGGCTGAGGTGAGTGGATCGCCTGAGCCCGCGGGTTCGAGACCCGCCTGGGCAGCGAGACCTCATCTCTACAATAAATCAAAAAATCAGCTGGGCGTGGTAGTGCATGCCTGTAATTCCGGCTACTCGGAAGGCTGAGGCGGAAGGATCGCCGGAGCCCAGCAGGTCGAGGCTGCGGTGGCCGGGAGCGGCCACGGCACTCCAGGCTGGGCGACAGAGTGAGACTCCAACTCAAAAACAAAAATGAAATAAAATAAAATACAAAAGATCAGAGCCATATGTTTCATGATCTTTGTGACATTTTTCTATCTACTCAATCACTGGGTTTTGATGAAACCTGAAAGCAAAGGAGTTTCCTCCCCAGGTCACCCATCCATCTGGTGGGCCGCTGACTCCTTGTCCACAGTCCTGTCCCTGCCAGCCCTGCCCACTGTTCAATTTTATTTGATGTTTTTATTTTTTGAGTTGGGTTCTCATTGCCACCCAGGCTGGAGGGCAGTGCCACAATCACAGCTCACCATAGCCTCGACCTCCTGGGCTCAAGAGATCCTCCTGCCTTAGTCTCCCAAAGGGCTGGGATGACAGGCACACTCCAGGGTGCCCAGCCTCCTGTTGTTCAGTTTTGATCCTTCACCAGGTATTTCTTTTCTTTTTTTTTTGAGTCGGAGTCTCACTCTGTCGCCCAGACTGGAGTGCAGTGGCCGCTCCCGGCCACCGCAGCCTCGACCTGCTGGGCTCCGGCGATCCTTCTGCCTCAGCCTTCCGAGTATCCGGAATTAAAGGCATGCGCTACCACGCCCGGCTGATTTTTTGATTTATTGTAGAGATGAGGTCTCGCCAAGTTGCCCAGGCGGGTCTTGAACCCGCGGGCTCAGGCCATCCACCCACCTCAGCCTCCCAAAGCGCGGGAGTACAGGCTGAGCCACCGAACCCGGTCACCAGGTATTTCTTGAACTAAAAAGAGCCTCTGGGATCTTTCTGGCAGGTGGCCCTGGGTGGACTCACTCTTGTCACCTTGTCACCAGGGAGGGTGACTCCAGTGGAGCCCTTGTCGGATTTTTACGAATGTCGGGTGTGCTGCATGCACCGGGGTGGGCAGGCGCTGTTGTGTCCTCACCCTCCCCGCGGGGCTGGCATTACTGTCCCCGTGTCACAGATGGGGCATCAGAGCCAGCATCCACTCCCCGGTCAGCAGCACCAGCTGAAGGCCACAGCCTCACAAGCCACAGCCCGCGCAGGGCCCCACGAACAAAGTGGCACGAGGTGTCATCTCATGAAACTGGAGGGCAATGCAGACATCGCTGAGTGGCTTGGGGGGGGAGCCTGGGGCGGGGGCCAGGTGGCTCCCCGGGCAACCGAGCTCGCCTGCCTGCAGGGTTTGGGCCCTTCCTGGCTGTGACACGCCAGTGTCATGCTGTCAGCTTCACACTCCGAACTGCATGTGTCCCTGTTGTCCCCACCTCAGCCCATGAGGTCAGGGAGCCGGACGGAGCCCAGGCCCAGAGGCCCCGAAGGGGGCAGGTGCTGCGGCCACCTCCCTGGGCACCGACCACCCCTGGATCACAGGCTCAGGGTCTGTTTCGGATCAACCTCGCTACCAGTCCACGTGGGAGGCCCATCCTGCCTCTGACATTTGCAGTCAGGACATATGGGAAGGAGGTGCCTATAAAAACCTAGAACAGCCAGGCTTGGTGGCTCAGCCTGTCATCCCAGCGCTTTGGGAGGCTGAGGTGAGCGGACTGCCTGAGCCCGCGGGGTCGAGACCCGCTTGGGCAACTTGGCGAGACCTCATCTCT